GCACACCTACATGTATTCATGATGGTGTGACATACAAACACAAATATTCCCCGTATAGCCGTTACAGACTATTTGGGGCAAGTGCTGCGAGGTGAGTGCCTAATAAGACACAAGATGGGTGGATGTGGCCAGCAGACATCTGGCCATCTTTTTTTAATCCCTAGTGCTGATACTTACACGCCATAACACGTGTACTCATTTGAGGCTGAGTTGACCTAGGATAGGCCCTCGCGAAGGTTTAGACAACCAACAACTTCGTGCCTGTGCTTGTGTAACACCAGGAAAACAAATTTCCTTCAAAATCACGAATTTTGCAATTCCAAAAAAATAAAAAAAATCCTCATATAAAAATAAAACCGGCTGAATTAATGCGAAATAACAAAAAAAACTGTTTAGAAAAAGACTCGGTACCCCAATGTTTCAGGCAATCGGCCTTCATCATGACATAAAAACATCGTGAACTCACAGGGTCCAGTCTACTCACCCCGTCACCTATTGCATTCGCTCACTGAAGTAGCAACTTTTCCCCGAACATCAAGAATCACTACACTTTTGGCAGGTTTTATATTCGCTTTACAAATGGAGCCGGAATAATACGACGTCACACACTTGCGTGAGTGCCTTAACCAACAATTCATGGCTTGTGCAAAATTATTATCTCTATTTACAATATAACACGACAGCATCCATGGGGCGAGGGGGGCCTAGGTGGGAGGGGGGGGGGGGCTACGGGAGATCAAGGGGGAGGGGCTATGGGGTCAAAGGGGGAGGAGCTAAGGGGACCAAGGGGGAGAGGATATGGGGACCAAGGAGGAGGGTCTGTGGGGACCAAGGGGGAGGGGCTAGAGGAACCAAGGGGGAGGGGTTGGGGCACAAGGGGGAGGGGCTACGGGGAGAAAGGAGGAGGGGCTATGGGGACTAAGAGGTAGGGTCTTTGGGGGCCAAGGGGGAAGACCTATGGGGGCCAAGGGGGGAGGGGCTATGGGGATAAAATCTCCACTGTTAAAACAACGTAATTAATTATGAAATCTCAGATATGGTAGGAATGGGGACACACGGATTAGTGAACATCGCACGGTCCTGACGTCACACTGACCGCTCGGGAGCGCGTGTGGCTTGTGACGGAGCATCATCGCCACGCGGACGGGACGTCCGACCGCGGGAGACGGAGCGACAAAAGCGGCGCGCACGTGGGCGCCGGGTGGACCGTGAGAGCGGGCGACTACTCTGTGCAGCAAGCGAAGAGCTCACGGCCAACGCGGCTGGCGCCGACCGCGACCTCCGCCCCCCCCCCCCCCCCCCACCCCCCCGGGTCTCCGCCGCGTCCCCTCGCGACGTTCCCGGTGAAGGACGACCGACGCTCCGACAGCACCGGCGACTCTCGCGGGAGCGTTCTGCGCCATCACAAGGCGGAGTTGTCCACCACCTCGTACAGGGGCTCGGGATTCGTCACGGCGCTCCCGTTGGCCTTGCGCGTCGACCCCGCGGGGGAGGAGGGCTCCGACTTGCGCGTCGATCCTGGCGAGCTGTCGGCGTGGCTCTTGGCGTGGCTCTTGGCGTGGCTCCCGGCGTGGCTCCCGGCGTGGCTCCCGGCGTGGCTCCCGGCGTCGCGCTCGCTGTGTTTGCTGCTCTCGGTGTCGCACTCGCGGGGAGAGAATTCGTGGTCTCCTTTCTGGGCCCTCTGCGTCTGCAGCTTCAGCAGCGTCGCTTTGTTGATCCTGGGACCTGCGTCCGTGCAAAGACAAGACTGCGATGCGATATCCGTTGATGACGACATTCACGACGATGACAATGACGACGACGACGATGACGAACATAATGACGATGATGCCGATGACGACAATGACGATGATGACGACGATAAACACGATGATGATGACGACGATGATGACGACAATGATGACGACGACGACAAACGACGGCGACCCTCTTACCGAAGTAGCTGAGCACAACGGGCAGGAAGATGAGCCCATGCACGGCTCCCAGGAGCGTGATGGCGAGGTTCAGCTGGAAGAAGAAGACCTGCACCAGCTGGGCCTTGGCGAAGGCGAGGATGATGATCCCGGGGAGGTTCGTCATCGCCACCCCGGCCAGCACCTGCGCCAACGTACGTGGCAGGCACACGGTGAGCCACACGGTGAGTCGGTGAGACGTACGGTGAGCCAGTGAGCCACACGGTGAGCCAGGAAGCCACACGGTGAGCCAAACGGTGAGCCAGTGAGCCAAGCGGTGAGTCGGTGAGACGTACGGTGAGCCAGTGAGGCACACGGTGAGCCAAACGGTGAGCCAGTGAGCCAAGCGGTGAGCCAGTATGTGAGGCAGTGAGCCAAATAGTGAGTCGGTATGTGAGGCAGTGAGCCACATAGTGAGTAGGTAAGGCACACAATGAGGCAGCGAGGCACACAGTAACCAAATGAGCCACACGGTGAGACAGTGAGGCACATGGTGAGCCACACGGTGGTTCGTCATGGCTACCCCGGCTAGCACCTGCCCCCCCCTCCCCCCCCCCGCCACGGCCAACACGTTTGGAACCCACACAGTAAGCCACATAGTGAGGCACACAGCGAGTCACATAGTACGTGAAACACACAGTGGGCACGTGAGCCACGCAGTGAGCCATTTAGTCCCACAGTAAGCCACACAGTGGGCCACACGGTGAGCCAATGAGGCACACAGTCACATAGCACGTGAGACAGTGAGCCATGCAGTGAGATATTTAGTCCCACAGTAAGCCACACAGTGGGCCACACGGTGAGCCAATGAGGCACACAGTCACATAGCACGTGAGACAGTGAGCCATGCAGTGAGCCATTTAGTCCCACAGTAAGCCACACAGTGGGCCACACGGTGAGCCAACGAGGCACACAGTCACATAGCACGTGAGACAGTGAGCCATGCAGTGAGATATTTAGTCCCACAGTAAGCCACACAGTGGGCCACACGGTGAGCCAATGAGGCACACAGTGACATAGCACGTGAGACAGTGAGCCATGCAGTGAGATATTTAGTCACACAGTAAGCCACACAGTGGGCCACACGGTGAGCCAACGAGGCACACAGCGAGCCGCACTGACTCAGAAACTGTATTTAGACTGCAGGAGGAATCCGATGAGCCACGAAACTCTTTTTCACAGATGTCCACTATGGGCGGAGTCACACGGCGAGTCGGCGAACCGCACGGTGCGCCAGCACCCGCTCCCCAGTCCACCGCCGGGCCACAAGCGGCCGAGCGGCGTTTCAAGCGGAGGTCGCCGGGGCTGACCCCGGTCAACCCGGAGCCCGGCTCGACCTCTGACCTCTGACCCGGGAGTGCGACCCCACCCGCCAACCGCCTCCCCCGTCCTCCTCCTCACCGCGCTGCCCATGGTGGTGATGGCCTCCCGGGCGCGCGCCACCTTGGTAGGCCGCACGCTGACGGCGAAGGCGCGCGTGATGTGAGACACAAACTCTACCGAGATGCCCACGGCCTGCACGGCAGCGGGAGAAGAGAGACACAGAGGAGAGAGAGAGGCAGGGGGTGAGAAACGCGCGATGCGAGGGTGGGGAACGTTCGTGTAGCACTTAGCGCGCCGCGCTATGAACCCGGCGGCCCGAGTTCGCAACAACAGCGACGATTATCAGAACCGGTCCCCAGGCCTCCCCTCCTCGGTCGACTCGGCCTCAAATGAGTGCCTGGCGCGGTGTCTAAAAAACATCGCCACCGGGGAGACGAAGGCGGCCGTGTGGGCGTGGTGCCGCGGCCACCCACCACCACCACCTCGTGTGCCAATGCGGCCTTCACGGTTGGCTACGTACGGCGCGAAACGAGTCCGGCACGCGCGTACGGTGCTCGCGAAAAGCACTCGCTCAGACAGCCAAGTACGGACGAGGCCCCTGCGTGCGGGCGTGCGGGCGTCTCACCGCGACGAGGTTGATGAGCGAGATGGCGTTGAACTCGATGGAGAAGAGGGTCATGACACCCAGCGTGTCGATGACGATCATGACGATGACGAAGAGGTTGATGGCGCCCGACAGGATGTCGAGGCCCAGCACAACGCAGCACACGACGAAGGTGGGCACCAGGCACACGGCGAGGTTCACGGCGCCGTCGCGCACCATCGTCTCGTACTGCTCGTAGAACACGTACGTGATGCTGTGGGGGTTGGGGCACGGCAGTGGGGGGGGGGGGCGTGATAAACATGGTCACTTGGGAAACAAAGGCGACCCAGCGTGGTGGCGGTGGTGGTGGTCACCATCTAGTGAAGGCTGTGCCGGCTAATCGGGCGACCTTTGGCGGGGGGGGAGTGGGGTGCGAGTGAGCGGGCGGAAGAAGTGAAGGGACAGGAGAGCGAGCAGGCCGACAGGCAAGTGGGTAGGAGAGCGAGGGGGCAGGCAGGCGAGCTGGCTCCTGCGTGCTGGAGAGTGAGCGGGAGACTGAGAGACCAGGAGAGTGAGCGGGTGGGAGAGTGAGCGGGTGGGAGAGTGAGCGGGTGGGAGAGTGAGCGGGCGGGAGAGCGAGCGTGCGGGAGAGTCAGCGACCGGAGAGCGATTGTGCGGGAGGGTGAGCGTGCGTGCGTGCCAGTCACCCACGTGTAGGGGAAGACGGTGAAGTCCGGGTGCGTGCCCGGCACCGCGCGCATGCTGCGGGTGATGGAGTCGGCGAGCTCCCGCGCCCGCAGCAGCCCCGCGGTGTACTCGGGGGACGTCGTCATGGGAACGTGGTACGCCATGAATCGTGACGCTGCGGCATTCCACGTGGGGCGGTGGGGAGGGGAAAGACGCAACGGGTTCGAGCGGTGTCCCTCATTGCAAGGCCCGTGGGCCGCTGGCGTCCCCCCGGTGGCCTTTAGCGCGGCCCGCCCCCTTCGCAGGCGGCGTGGCGGGCCCCTCGCGCCTTGCGAGGGGCCCTCCGACGCAGACGGGCGGGCGAGCGGTCGCGGCGGCGGCGGCGGATCGTGCTCGGCTACGGCCACGTATGGCGGCGGCGCGCAGAGGCGAACAAAACACGGAACGCGAAAACAAACCGCTTGTCAATAAAAAGGCACTGCCTCTAAACGATCCGCCCATTTGTTTCACTGTTTGAAGGCCGCACGGCGATAGCGACGCGCGTTGCGTTGGTGGTTGGCCAGGCGGTGGTTGGCAGCGGATCGCTTCGCGGCCGCTGCGGGCTTTTCGAATGATGCTCGGTGAGGCCTGGTGAGCACACACAGACACACACACACCGGCCGCGGCCTCCTTCCTCACCGCCCGCCTCACCTATGATCTCTCCGGCTTCGTTCATCTTCACCGCATTGCCGTAGGCGCCAAGGCCGCTGCGGAGAGACGGCACGGCCCAGCGTTAGCCCGGCACACACAAAGACAAAGACGCAAGCACACGCGCAGACACACACGCGCGTGCACACAGACAGACACACACATGCACACGCGCAGACACACGCACGCACACGGACAGACACACACGCGCACACGCGCAGACACACACGCATGCACATGGACAGACACACACGCATGCACATGGACAGACACACACGCATGCACACGCGGAGACACACACGCGCACACGCGCAGACACACACGCATGCACACGCGCAGACACACACGCATGCACACAGACAAAGGTTCCCTTGTGTAGCTACACGAATAGGATTCGGTTATCATATTCGGTCAGAAGAATGTACTAATAGGATTCGGTAATAGTGTTCGGTCAGAGGAATATACTGATAGGATTCGGTCAGAGGAATATACTAATAGGATTCGATCATAGTATTCGGTCGGAGTAATATACTAATAGGATTCGGTCATTGTATTCGGTTGGAGGAATATACTAAAAGGATTCGGTCAGAGGAATATACTAATAGGATTCGGTCGGAGTAATATTCTAATAGGATTCGGTCATAGTATTTGGTCAGTGGAATATATTAATAGGATTCGGTCATTGTATTCGGTCAGAGGAATATACTAATAAGATTCAGTCATAGTATTCGGTCAGAGGAATATATTAATAGGATTTGGTAATAGTGTTCGGTCAGAGGAATATATTAATAAGATTTGGTAATAGTGTTCGGTCAGAGGAATATATTAATAGGATTTGGTAATAGTGTTCAGTCAGAGGAATATACTGATAGGATTCGGTCATAGTATTCGGTCGGAGGAATATATTAATAGGATTCGGTAATAGTGTTCGGTCGGAGGAATATACTGATAGGATTCGGTCAAGATATTTCTGAGTAGGATTGCGTGGAGTGCCGTGGCACTCACCCCTTGGCGCACTTGAGCGTTGGCACGTCCTTGAGGAAGATGGGCAGATAGTGCTCAAACTGCTGCACGTTGGGGCGCACCTGAGACACCGGCATGCACTTCCTGATGCACGCCAGCGGGGTGTCTGTGTAAACAAAGACAAAGATCGCCCGTGTAGCCTCAACAGACTGTAGGGGCAAGTGCTGTTAGCGAGCACCTACGAAAGCCGGAACGGTACACGAGGGGGTGGGTGGCCAGCACCACGCCCGACCGCTTTTGTCTCCCCAGTGACGATGTTTACACACCGCACCAGGTACTCATTTGAGGCCGTGTCGACCTAGGGGAGGCCCGGGACCGGTTCAGATAATCGTCACTGGGTGTTGGCCGTGAGCGGGAATCGAACCCGGGTCGCCAGGTTCATAGCGCAGCGCGCTAACCGCTACACTACCGCTCCCCACACACACACACACACGCGCGCGCACGCCCGCACAAAGACAAAGTTCACCCATATAGCCTTAACACGCGGTTGGGGGCAAGCGCTATTAGCGAGCGGCAACACGTATGCAGGGGGCGGGTGGGCACTACCACGCCAGAACGCCTTTGTCTCTCAGTGGCAAGATGTTGACTTCCTCGCCTGGTATACAGGAGGTCGTGGGTTCGATGCTGACCCTGACGCCTGCTGCATATTTGGAGTTTGCACGTTCTTTCTCTCTCCCCCGTGGTCGCGTAGATTTGCCGCCGGCTCCTCCGGATTTCCCCTCCACGTTTAGAATCAACGTCGAAGCGCTCCGAGCATTTTGGCTGCTGCTATAAATGTCCACGTGATGAGAAGCCAATTTCGTTGAGCGATCAATTTGTGGCCAGGTCGCTTCTGACAAACGCGCTAAATATAGCTCAGTGGGCCATACCTGGCAAAATAAAAAAAAATAGTTTAGTTCGTAGATTTAGTTCGGTGCTAATAATAATAATAATCATTCAAATCCATAATTCCCATTCCATCATCGGATCCTATTTGAGGCAGGGTCGTTTCTTTTTCGGCCACGACACCGGCTCACGATGGCCAACCCTCCTTCGAATCACGTCGCATGTCCGTCAGCCGACCCCTCTCACCCCCCCCACCCCCACCGCGGCATTAACCAGGACAGCCGCTGGGTTCGAAGCGCGGGAAACCCCTGCAGCAATGCTTCCTCCGATTGGCACGGCAGGCTACGTATAGGCGCCAAAGGAGTTCACAGTATGTACGGCGCGTTGTGGAAAGATCCAATTTTTTGGGGTGAGGCACAGTCCGCGATAACGCGTGAGGCGTGTAACGCAGGCCGAGCAAAGGCCAATGCGCGTGAGCAGCATCTAGAAGCATCCAGCAGCATCCCAGTGCCGCGTGTGATGGTGCTACGCGTGGGGCAGCCGTACGACCGCTTATTCCTACTCACGCGACGTAGTTCCATTCACTCGATCGCGTTATCACGCCTGTCAACCGCTTATCAGTGCCCTACCTTATTGCAGGCCGATTCAGATCTTATTGGTCTACCAGTGCCCTTTGAAATCTCAACGTTCATCCTAAAAACACCGGCATTGAGAACGGCCGTACGCCGTATGGAACTGAAAACTCAATTTCCCTTGACAAGAATACGCGGGTAACCCGTGTGCGTTGACAGCTGATTGCGTCATGTCCAATTCGCGTCATGAAAACAACATGCGACGTGAAAGCAGAACACGACCGTACAGCCTACGCTCGGATGACGTCATCACCAACTTGCGAGCGTTCTCTAATCCACGCGTCTGTCCCTCCGCCTGCCTTTCAACGGAACAGTTCCAAGCGTGCCGTCTCTCCGCGCTGCTCGTGTTTCTGCGTTTAAATCCTTTTTTTTATTATTGCATCCCCCCCCCCGACCCCAGCTCGTGACCATCTTCAATTTCCCCCCGAAAATGTCTCACCGACGGTCGAGTTGCAGAACTGGCCGGCCTGCGGGTGCCCCATGCTGTAGAGGCGGCAGCAGGAGGAGTACGGGTTGAGCCAGTCGACGAAGTCGTCCACCCAAGACGACGCCGAGATCGCCAAATAGGAGCTGTGGTAGACGCAGCCATGCGGACCGGTGGAGCGAGCACTCGCCAACTCGCTCGCCAACTCCAGGTACTCACACACTCACTGGTCCAGGTACTCGCTCACACACTCTCACTGGTCCAGGTAGTCACTCACAAAGTCACACAGGTCCAGGTACTCACTCACACACTCACTGGTCCAGGTACTCGCTCGCTCGCCAACTCACTCGTCAATTCACTCGCTTGCACTCACTGGTCCAGGTACTCGCTCACACACTCACTGGTCCAGGTACTCACTCACACACTCACTGGTCCAGGTACTCACTCACACAGGTCCAGGTACTCACTCGTACACACACTCACTGGTCCAGGTACTCACACATACACACAGGTCTAGGTACTCACCCACACACTCACTGGTCCAGGTACTCACTCACACACTCAGTGGTCCAGGTACTCACTCGTACACAAACTCACTGGTCCAGGTACTCACTCACACACACACAGGTCTAGGTACTCACACACACTCACTGGTCCAGGTACTCACTCACACACTCACTGGTCCAGGTACTCACTAACTGGTCCAGGTACTCACTCACACTCTCACTGGTCCAGGTACTCACACACACACTCACTGGTCCAGGTACTCACTCGTACACACACTCAGTGGTCCAAGTACTCACTCACACACTCACTGGTCCAGGTACTCACTAACTGGTCCAGGTACTCACTCACACTCTCACTGGTCCAAGTACTCACTCACACACTCACTGGTCCAGGTACTCACTCACACACTCACTGGTCCAGGTAACTTACTTACACACTCAGTGGTCCAGGTACTCACGCACACACTCACTGTTCCAGGTACTCACTCACACACTCACTGGTCCAGGTACTCACTCATACACTCACTGGTCCAGGTACTCACTCATACACTCACTGGTCCAGGTACTCACTCACACACACACTGGTCCAGGTACTCACTCACACACACACTGGTCCAGGTACTCACTCATACACTCACTGGTCCAGGTACTCACTCACTCACTCAGTGGTCCAGGTACTCACTCATACACTCACTGGTCCAGGTACTCACTCACACACACACAGGTCCAGGTACTCACTCACACACTCACTGGTCCAGGTACTCACTCACACACTCACTGGTCCAGGTACTCACTCACACACTCACTGGTCCAGGTACTCACTCACTCACACTCACTGGTCCAGGTACTCACTCACACACTCACTGGTCCAGGTACTCACTCACTCACACTCACTGGTCCAGGTCCTCACACACTCACTGGTCCAGGTACTCACTCACTCACTGGTCCAGGTACTCACTCACACACCCACTGGTCCAGGTACTCACTCACACACTCACTGGTCCAGGTACTCACTCACACACTCAGTGGTCCAGGTACTCACACACACTCACTGGTCCAGGAACTCACTCACACACACACTGGTCCAGGTACTCACTCGTGCACACTCTCACTCACACACACTTTCACTGGTCTGGGTAAACACACTCAAAAACAAAGGCAAAGATCCCCCGTGTAGCCTGTAACAGACTGTTGGGACAAGTCCTGTTAGCGAGCGGCACCTATAAAGGCCGGCACAGCACACGAGGTGGTGGGCGACCAGCACCACGCCCGACCGCCTTTGTCTCCCCAGTGGCGATGTTCACACATCGCACCAGGTACTCACTTGAGGCCGACTCGACCTAGGGGAGGCGGGCCCAGGACCGGTCCAGATAATCGTCACCGTCACCGGTGCCCGTGAGCGGGAATCGAACTTGGGTCACTGCCGGCTTCGTAGCGCTAGCGGAGCGCTAACCGCTGCACCACCGCTCCCCCGACCGCCCCCCCCCCCGCCCCCCCGCAAACACGCTCGGCACGCAGACACTCACTGTTCCGGGTACTCGCAAGCCATCTGGATCTTCTGCATCATGGAGTCGTTGTTGCAGCCGGCGCTGCCGCAGACGGCGTTGGTGCCCTCCTCGCTCGAGAAGTTGTAGCCGCCCGTCGTCACGAAGTAGGTGGGCAGTCCCACCTCCAGATACTCGTAGAGGCCGTTGAGGTAGTCCAGCGCGTACGAGTCCTGTACCACGTGCGGGGGGGGGAGGGGGGTGTGGGAGTGTGGGACAGGAGATAAGGAGATGAGATGGGACGAGATGCATTGAGTCAGAATATTTATTTATACGCTGGAGGAATCCGATGAGCAATTGTGTTGTTTGATTGGATTACTCAGCTTTTATTATTATTATTACTCGCTTTTATGGGAATTTCGAGAGCAGTCATAGATATTGTCATGATCAGCTTCATAGTTCGCTTAGATTGTATCTACATCAAATCAAATAAAACTTTACTTACATTAGCACAATTCGTGCAGAGAATGCAATATCAAGTGCTCGACAAGACTACATGAAGCGACTGACGCAACGCAAAACAATAATAATGATACGTTAGAAAATTACATCACATTATAATGAGCTAAAAGTAGAATAAGATGCATAATAAACACGTAATCAAAGCATCCTAAAAATATAAAACAATAAAATTCCCACGACGTTTCGACTGCAGCACAAGCAATCATCATCAGGTGTGAAAACCACAGCAAGAATTTTTTTTTAAAAAGTGGCGTTTTTAAAAAAAATATAACGTTAGCACCACGGAGAGCGATTTGACAGTTTGTTCAGATGGACGAGTCCATCTGTGTTCGGAAAAGCGGAGGGGGGAGACGGAAAATAATTAAAAGCCCATCTAAAATACAGGGCACTCCTTGACGTACGCGATGATCGATGGGTTCCTGAAAGCAAAAAGAAAACGCGCGTATCTCCAAAATGCCATTACGTCAAAAGCAATTTTCCCATAAGAAATAATGGTAAAGGAGAGGTGGGGTGGGGGGTGGTCAGGGGATTTCACTCACACTCGCAGACATTGTCGCCTACTACATTATCCTAGCCTGTATCGATAGGCCGATTGCCAGGGACGCTCCCCTTTGATATCTCCCTCTCGGCGCTTAAATCTTCACCTCCTCCGTCCCCTTGCTACAGCACCCTCTCGTCCAATTACCCCTCCACCACCTGTGCCCCTTCCTCGACGGATGTTAGGGACCGTCCATAAATGACGTCACGTGATTTGGACGATTTTTGACACCCCCCCCTACGTCACACGGCGTCACGAAAAGTCAGACCCCCCCCTCAAATATGACGTCACAAAGCTCTGCCCCCTCCCCCCCCAAAAATAAAACATGCTTTAAATCGATTTAAACTATTGTCATTGTAGTGCGTATTTAATGTGGCGCTGCACTCTGATGTTGTAGGAGAAAACATTTATTTAAAAAAGTCTATAAAATTAAGTAGAACGTGTTGTCTATATTTACTTAAAGTTGCGCATTTTGATGTGACGTCACATTTCTCAAACCCCCCCCCCCCCTCGTCACACATCGTCACAAATGTCTGACCCCCCCCCCCCCTAGGTGCGTGACGTCATTTATGGACGGCCCCATATCTGAAAATCGAATAAACCTCACGCAGATAATCGAGAGTCTACCGACTTTATTCGATTCACGTTCATTCGCGAATCCGTTCGTCTCGTTCGTTTCGCGATTCCTGATCGTCTCGTTCGATTCGCGAATCCGTTCGTCTCGTTCGTTTCGCGATTCCTGATCGTCTCGTTCGATTCGCTAATCCGTTCGTCTCGTTCGATTCGCGAATCCTTTGGTCTCGTTCGATTCGCGAATCCGTTCGTCTCGTTCGAATAGCTAATCCGTTCGTCTCGTTCGATTCGCTAATCCGTTCGTCTCGTTCGATTCGCTAATCCGTTCGTCTCGTTCGATTCGCTAATCCGTTCGATTCGTTTCATTCTCTATAACGTTTGATTGGCCGACAGGGGGAGGCAGGCGCTCCCAGTGCCCCTCCCCCCACCCCTCCTCCGCAACCTCTAGCACAGACGCGGGCAAAGTCCGGCCCCCGGGCCGTATACGGCCCGCTGGGCTTTTTAATCCGGCCCGCCGAACTTGTCCAAATATTATTATTAAATTAAAGTTTCCCCTTCTCCTGTAATGCCCCCATTTCCCCATTAGATGGCGCACTTTGACCGGGAGTCACGACCTGTTTTTGTATCGTTCATGTTCGTGCAATTTGTTGAATTGCCTTGAAAATAAATGATTAGCTACCTGTTAAAGGCCAAAGCCTTTCATGTAATAATTTTTAACGCGTCATTTATATTAGTTCACACAAACCACTCCATACATCTGTTCCTGGCCCGGCCCCTCTGTCAAATTTTAGAACCCATTGTGGCCCGCGAGTCAAAAAAATGTGCCCACCCCTGCCCTAGCATCACCTCTCACTACGGGCACCACGGGTTCTGGTCAGACACTTGCAGTGTACGGTTCTTGCGTTTAATCACCTGTATAAGTTATCACTCTCACCCATGTTTATTCTGTTGAAAAGTGTTATTTTAGCAGGTTTCGGGTGAGAAAATATTTTCTTCGGGAACGCATCTTAGGTTACAAAGTGGGGCCTTATGGAAGGATGCGTTTCGTTATACGCTGCGCTGTTTCACTTGACGCTCCAGGTTTTCAACGCCCATGTTGTTGTCGCCATCGTGGTTTTAAGCACAACGTGAAACTGCTCTCACCTTTGGCAGAGCGAGACGCTGGTCCAGCCCGACCTTAACGTGGAACATCAGGAAGAGCGACGCGCTGAACATGAAGATGAAGACGATCATCTGCAGGACGCGCACAAAAGACAAAGATCCCCCTTTTAACAGACTGTTGGGGCAAGTGCTGTTAGCGGGCAGCACCTATGAAGGCCGGCACGGCACACGAGGAGGGTGGGTGGCCAGCACCACGCCCGGCCGCCTTTGTCTCCCCAGTGGCGATGTTTACACATCGCACCAGGTACTCATTTGAGGCTGAGTCGACGTAGGGCAGGCCCAGGACCGGTTCAGATAATCGTCACCGGTGTTGGCCGTGAGCGGGAATCGAACTCGGGGCACCGGGTTCGTAGCGCGGCGCGTTAACCGCTGCGCCACCGCTCCCCAATACCAATATCCCCAACGCACGCACATCTCCTCTCTGCGGATTCTCACTATGACGACGACGCTAACCCCGATGAGCCGACTCACCACGACGGCGCGGGTGACGCGGTGCAGCAGGAAGCGGGAGTAGTATCGCCGCATGAAGGGCAGCAGGAATCCCTCGTTGCGCTCAGGTGCCTTCACGTTGCTGGGCCGCACGCAGCAGCAGATGTCCATGCGGTTGGCCTGCGGTGGACACGGGACACACGCACGGCTCCTGTGGTGTTGCCTTGGTGTGGTCTGGGGCTGTTGTTGGTGTTTTGGTGTGGTCTGGGACGGTTTGTTTCGGTGTTGTGTTGGTGTGGTCTGGGACTGTTGTTTTGGTGTTATCGTGGTTTGGTCTGGGACTGTTGTTTTGGCGTTGTCGTGGTTTGGTCTGGGACTGTTGTTTGGTGTTGTCGTGGTTTGGTCTGGGACTGTTGTTTTGGTGTTGTCGTGGTTTGGTCTGCGACTGTTGTTTTGGTGTTGTCGTGGTTTGGTCTGGGACTGTTGTTTTGGTGTTGTCGTGGTTTGGTCTGGGACTGTTGTTTTGGTGTTGTCGTGGTTTGGTCTGGGACTGTTGTTTTGGTGTTGTCGTGGTTTGGTCTGGGGACTGTTGTTTTGGTGTTGTCGTGGTTTAGTCTGGGACTGTTGTTTTGGTGTTGTCGTGGTTTGGTCTGGGACTGTTGTTTTGGTGTTGTCGTGGTTTGGTCTGGGACTGTTGTTTAGGTGTTGTCGTGGTTTGGTCTGGGACTGTTGTTTTGGTGTTGTCGTGGTTTGGTCTGGGACTGTTGTTTTGGTGTTGTCGTGGTTTGGTCTGGGACTGTTGTTTTGGTGTTGTCATGGTTTGGTCTGGGACTGTTGTTTTGGTGTTGTCGTGGTTTGGTCTGGGACTGTTGTTGTTGTTGTTCAACCCCCTCGGACCCCCCCCCCCCCGCCCAAACCCCCGACCCCACCCCCCCTCACCCTCCCCCCCGCCAACCCCCACTACGACTCACGTCTCTCCGCCGTGAGTCGAGCGCCACCAGGGACACGAACATGGACATCTGCAAGCAGAAGTTGAAGACGACGGCGAGGCCGGCGGACAGGGCGAAGGTGCGTACCGCCGGCATCTCGGTGAGCGTGCCTGCACCGCCGGGGGGACATGGTGGAGGGGGGGGGGGGCACACGCGGCCGGTCACCCTCGATGCGCGCGTGTGTGCTGTGTGTTGTGTGTGCCGTGTGTGCTGTGTGTGTTTGTGTGTGCTGTGTGTGTTTGTGTGTGCTGTGTGTGTGCTGTGTGTTTGTGTGTGCTGTGTGTGTTTGTGTGTGCTGTGTGTGTGCTGTGTGTTTGTGTGTGCTGTGTGTGTTTGTGTGTGCTGTGTGTGCTGTGTGTCAGCGTGTGAATGGGGAGCAGTAGTGTAACGGTTAGCGCGCTGTGCTACGAACCGGGCAAGAGAACCGAGTTCGATTCCCGCTCACGGCGAACCGGTCCTGGGCCTCCCCCTAGGTCGACTCAGCCTCAAATGAGTACCTGGTGGGGTGTGTAAGCATCGCCACCGGGTAGACAAAAGCAGTTGGGCGTGGTGCTGGCCACCCACCCCCTCGTGTGCAGTTCCGGCCTTCATAGGCGCTCGCTAACAGCACTTGCTCCGACAGTCTGTTGAAGGCTACACGGGGGATCTTTGTCTTGCATGTGTAAAGACAGTACAGGGGACTAGCGTTCACAAGTGGTAATAACAGGTTAAGGGACAGACAGGGGAACGATCTCGGCTCTTGGAGAAGGTCCAAGAACCAGCGAGAGAGTTCGAGAAGTAGGGGCGTAGTAGCGAAGGGTGGAGGGATGGCGACGCTGGGGATCAGAGGGGGCGAGGTGGAGAGGTTCGGGGCTGCTGCGGGATTCGGGGTCGTCGCCGTCAAGTGAACGGTGTCGTCAAATAAAGAACCCTCAAAAGACCGTGCCTTCTGGGGTCGTGTACACATGTTGTACCACAAGCACGTGTAGTTAATGCAGACGATGTGGCTCGCAGTCAACCTCTTCGTCTCCAGGATGAATAAATAAAGATTCTGAGTAACGTGGATGTGCTGCCACTCATCTCAGTCGGTCAACCCATGGCACCCGCTGAGTCCGTATCTGTGCCCTCCTCCTGCCGGCGGAGCCTTCGACACATCAAGTGACCTCGACGTGCACCTAGCATGGTACAAGCGCCCTGGTGACATCACCCCCACTTAGTTGTGAACGACGGTTGTTGTTGTTGTTGTCGCGCATTGTTGCTTTCCAGAGTTTTTATTTCTTTGGCTTTTTTGTCACTTAAATTAAGTAACCTTTAAACTTTCAGCAGGGTGGCGGAGGGGGGGGGGGGGTGCGGGGGGATGCTACTGCTGCTCTGACCCCCCCCCCTCTGCCCCATTGACGTCATTCGAAGTGTCATCTTTTTGGCCAATATCGGTTCCATTGGGGAGCTGCGTTTAGTTTGCTCGCCCTGAACCCTGAGTCGAACCCTACCCATGAACTGTAGAACCCGGAGGAAACCCGTGCAGAACAGCGGGAGAGGACGTACAACTGCCCGGGGTCGAGAATCGAACCTAGGTCAAGCGTAACCACCGCCCTGCACGCCGCCAATCATCGCGGAGGAGTGAGACTCTTCTTCAGAGTTCATCGGATTCCCCTTGCAGTCTAAATACAGCTTCTGATTATGACGTCAACAATGCGTGAGCGTCACGTCGACGCCGCGTCAACGTCGCGTCAACGTCGCCTGAACGTCGCGTTCGAGGGGGTGCAGAGGGGGGCGGGGGGGGGGGGGGCTGTTTCCACGCGGCGAGGCGGCGGGTGTGCGGAAGAGAGGCTCACCCAGGAAGAAGCAGACGGACTCGGAGACGCTGCAGAGCAGCATGCTGGGAGCCACCTCACCGAGCACACGGCCAATCTGCTCCTCCCGCTTCTCGCCCTTCCTGAGCTCGTCCCTCTGCACGCACCGGCACAGAGGGCGGACGCTGCCACCAGAGGCAAAGATCCCCCGCCGCCCTCGCCTCGCCCTGTGTAGCCTTGAACAGACTGTTGGGGGCAAGTGGCGTTCAGCGAGTGCGGCCGCCTTTGTCCCCCCGTTGCTAAAGTCGACAGATACGACCTTGCGCAGGACCGTGAAGGACGAGCTGGTAGCAGCGATCAACAAACCTGCCAACCCCTTATCAGTGCCCTACCTTATTACAGACCAATTCAGACCGTATTGGTCACCCCCGTGCCCCCTTATTAATCTCAACGTTCATCCTACGAAGTCCCATCGCAAGAGAGGAACACAAACAAATAGATATTTATTGCTGCCCGCATTGAAACGGCGTTACGCCGTATGGGCCTGAATAGTGAATTTCCCCGCACAAGAATACGGGGTAAACGGTGTGGGTTGACGGCTATGGATCAGCTTCTCTTGGGGCGAGGCTCAACACGTTGCCAAGGACAGGAAGCAGTGGAGGGAACTCATTGCGACCTTTATGGGGATGAAGAGGATTAATTAGCTAACTAAATCTTGACTTAACGCTTTCGTGACTGCAGGAATTCATATTCTCCGGGTCTTTCGGTAAAGTCACGTAGATAGGTTCAAGGAAAATAACAAAATAATAAAAAAACTACGACGTTTCGATCGCAACACAAACGGTCGCGTTGCGATCGAAACGTCGTCGTTTTTTTTGTTATTTTCTTTGAACCTATCTACGTGACTTTACCGAAAGACCGAAAGAATAGCTAACTAACGTGGCACGGTACTTATTCGAGGCTGAGTCGACCTAGGGGAGACCCAGGACCGGTTCAAATATCTCGACCACCCCCCACCGCCGGTAGCGGCGGACAAATGAAAATTTCAGGCCGAGTGGACCTAGGCGCGAGACTAAACCAATCTATTTTTTTTTAAACGAAACTATTTTATGCTGCCAGGTAGGCTCACTGAGCTACTTATGCAGCTCTTTTCAGAAGCGACACGGCTATCACATATCCCAACGAAGTGGGCTCATCGTCACGTGGACATTTATACCGGCAGCCGGATACCGTGAACGCACGACGTTGATTCTAAACGCGGAGAGAAAAACCGGAAGGCCTGGGCAAAAATCCACACGACCACGCAAAGAGAGAGAGAGAGACACCGCAAACTCCAAATACACAGCAGGCATCAGGGGTCCGAATCGAACCCACGATCTCCTGCACACCAGGCGAGGTAGTCAACATCTCCGAGCCACCGTGATGATGATGAGAGAGAGGCACGCAAACTCCAAATACACAGCAGCAGGCGTCAGTCAGGTGGTCGGGATCAAAACCCACGGACCTCCTGCGTACGAGGCGAGGGGGTCAACATCTCCTAGCCACCTGCAGCTCGAGGACGAAGATGAAGATGTTGTCGGCGCCCACGGCGAGGATGAGGAAGGGCACCACCTCAAGGATGACGAGCGATGAGGGCACCCCGGCGTAGGCGAAGACGCCCATGGCGGCGGCCACCGAGGCCAGCACCACGAAGATGCCGCCCAGGCCCAGCGTGACCTTGGAGTCGATCTGAAGGTCGCCACCCACAGCAAAGGCAATGACAAAGATCACCCCCAACCCCCGTATAGTCTCGAACGAACGCCACAAAGACAAAAGATCCACCGTATAGCCTCAGCCAACTGTTGGGGCAAGTGCTATTAGCAAGCGCACAAAGACATAGATCCCCCCGTATAAACTCAACAGACTTTTGGGGCAAGTGCTGTTAGCAATAACACAAAGACAACGATCCCCCGTATAGTCTTAACAGACTGTTGGGGCAAGTGCTGTTGGCGAGCATGGCACACGAGGGGGGTAGGTGGCCAGCACCTTGCCCTACCACCTTTGCCTCCATAGTGGCGACGTTGACACACCGCACCAGGAACTGGAGGCCCAGGACCCGGTTCAGATGATCGTCACTGGTGTTGGCCGTGAGTGGGAATCGAACCCGGGTCCCCAGGTTCGCAGTGCAGTGCGCTAACCGCCTCGACTGCCTCTCCCCCACTCGCTCGCACAGACACGCAGTAAACGCACCGGAGTTTGGTCCGTGCGTTTACTGCGCACTTCATATCTCAAGATAAGATGCAGAGACAATGGGCTCCGACTCCGCCGGCCACGAAGCTTTGCCCTGACCTGCCCACTATCGCGAAGGCCCCCGAATGATTGGGAGCAGAGGGTCGGGGACCTGAAATCTCGAGGCCCCCGTGATTGCATCAGTGACCCTTGACCGATGGGGCCGGGACACTTTCGTGACAACAGCCGACGTCGTCGTGACGTTCTGAACCCTGCGCTCCGACTGGACATCTGTGAACTAAGAGCTTCATAGCTCATCGGCTTCCTCCAGTACAAATACACGTTCTGATTCTGATGTCGTGGGAGATCCGTTTTTAGGAACAAAATAACCGAGCAGACAGCAAGGCAAGGGCCGGTTTCGACATTCAGTGTCTCATCAGCAGAGCCAGGCTCAATTGAACCAATGCTGGTGAACTGCTAGATGTTTATAAACAAGGCAGTGGTGTAGTAACGACATTATTGGGAGGGTCAGGTTGGTGCCCCAGTATTTGATTTGTCTCACACGGTTGCACCTAGAGGCGATTCTATATCGCTGCTCCTCTTGCCTAATGGCATCGCCGTTACGCTCACGGTCTCGGACATTTAACGCTGTCAGGGGCACTCTGTTTGAAATCACTTTTAGTTTTTTTTCTACACTTGCTGTTGAAAACATTCCGATCCTGGGAGCGGAGAGCCAGCGCAGGGAAGAGGAACGGCAACAGGCTAGCGATTCATTCCTCACCCGGTGTTTTATTTTTATTTTAGCTTCGCAACTCCCGCCACTGAGACCGCACTGTCGTGCTGGCTCGGAGTACCCACCAGGACTCTCTTCCAGCTCGAATACTCGCCGAGCGCGAGGGCGATGTAGGCGAAGATGACCGCATAGCTGATGGCGAAGATGGGCAGATCCTCGGCCGTCGTCCGGTTGATCTCGTCCTCCAGGGACCTCTGCAAGCGAGGGGTCAGGGTCAGAGAGGTCACCGGTGGCTGTTTGGCGACGCCCGCCACGCCTCGCCTCGCCATTGCCTCCTTCCAGATGCCGGGCGAAGTCTCGGACCTTGGTGCGAGGTCAGCCGCGTACAAGCTACCTGCCTGCCCATCTATGTACGTCCGTGTGTTGAACTTCTTTCGCAGCGTGCTTAGCTAACCACGCTAATACAGTAAAACCTTGGATTGCGAGTAACTTGGTCTGCGAGTGTTTTGCAAGACGAGCAAAATTGTTAAATAAATATTAATTTGATAAACGAGCGAGGTCTTGCAATACAAGTAGTACATATACACTTTGTCTGCTGAGCATCACGTGATCACAACTGATATACGAGTGCTTTGATATACGAGTGCTTTGGATTACAAACACGTTTCCAGAACGAATTATGCTCGCAATCCAAGGTTTTACTGTATTGGTGGGACTGCATACCCAAGTATCGAGCTGGCTACATACAGAATACACGCGCGGATGGTACTGTCCCTCCGCATAAACGACGAGAGGTACTGTATGTACCGTTTAACACATCCCATTAGTCATGCGGCCTTCTGGGAGTGGTATTATTTTTTCACAGCAGTGCCAAGCCAATCCCATCCTAGCCCTGACCCCTAGAACCCTTGACCCTGAGTCTAACTGTACCCCTAACTCTCAACCCTGACCCTGAGTCTAACCCTACCTTTAACCCTGACTCTAACACTAACCCCTGACCATGAGTCTAACCCTGACCCTTAGCCCTGACCCCTACCCCTTAACCCTGAGTCTAACCCTGACCCTAACACTAACCCCTGACCCTGAGTCTAACTCTGACCCTGAACCCTGACCCCTAACCCTGAGTCTAACCAAGACCCTAACACTAACCCCTAACCCTGAGTCTAACCCTGACCCCCGACCCTGATTCTAACTCCACCGCTAACTCTAGGGCACCCCTTGCACCTCCCCCCCCCCCGCCCCGCACGCTACCTCTGCCATGAACACGACGGTGAAGTTGCTGGTGGGGTCGTCCTTGTATTTGTGCACCCTGCGGATGAACTCGGCCTCCCACGCCAGCACGAACTCGAACTTGGGGTGGTCGCGGGCGAAGTTGTTGGTGGAGAAGGTGAGGATGAGCGCCTCGGACTCCGTGAAGCGCTCGTCTGCTCCGCACGGACGTCCGGGGGGGTGGGGGGGAGGGAGGTGGGACACCGCTCACCGTCACAAAGCGAAAGGGTCCCCCTTGTGTGACCTCAACATCTTGCCACCGTGGACGCCACGCTGGCAAGATGTTGACGACCTCGCCTTGTATACAGGAGGTTGTGGCTTCGAACCCGAGCCTGACGATGCCTGCCGTATGTTTGGAGTTTGCGTCTCTGCCCGTGATCGTGTGGAATTTTTCTCTGGGTCTTCCGGTTTTCCCCGCCGCGTTTGGATGCTGTGGGCTCTAACTTGTGGCCAGGTCGTTTCTGAAAAAGAGCTACACGGCTCAGTGGGCCTTACGTGGTAAAATAGAAATAGTTTTATTTAGACTTGTCGTACGGCTGCTGATGTAGGCGCAGAAGCAACAACAACAATTTCACATTCAGGTGATCAAGCTACAGGTAACCGGCGTCAGGAGCAGCGGAGCGTATCGCTGTCATGTCTCCTTCGTATTTGTGCTGTTAGTAGCGGGTAGCGGTGCTGTTAGTAGCTGTAAGTAGCTTTAGTGGCGGGTAGCGGTGCTGTTAGCAGCTTTAGTAGCGGGTAGCGGTGCTGTTAGTAGCTTTAGTGGCGGGTAGCGGTGCTGTTAGTAGCTCTTAGTAGTTAGTACGGAGTCTCGGTGCTGTTAGTAGCTCTTAGTAGTTAGTACGGAGTCACGGTAGCTGTTAGGAGCTGTTTCTTAGCGAGTTTAGCGGCGCCTATGGAGGCTGGAACGGAAGAATGGCCAGCACCACCACACCTTTGTCTTTCCCCAGCGACGATGTTTTTACAGAGTGCCGGGTGCTAGAGGCTCATTTGACCGAAGGGAGGCCCAGGACCGGTTCAGATAATCGTCACTGGTGTTGGTGGCCGTGAGCTGAAAGCATACTTAAAGTCACCGGGTTTGTAGTACGGCGCGCTAACCGCCGCACTACCACTCCCGTGACCGCCTGCGTGGGTACGTGAGTGTGTGTGCATGCGTGTTTCTGGGGAGCGGTAGTGTAGCGGTTAGCACGCTGGGCTGTGAACCCGGCGACCCGGGTTCGATTCCCGCTCACGGCCAACACCGGTGAGGATTATCTGAACCGGTTTCTGGGCCTCCTCTAGGTCGACTCAGCCTCAAATGAGTACCTGGTGCGGTGTGTAAACATCGTCACTATGGGGGCAAAGGCGGCCGGGCGTGGTGCTGGCCACCCACCCCCTCGTGTACCGTGCCGGCCTTCATTGGTGCTCGCTAATAGCACTTGCCCCCTACAGTCTGTTAAGGCTACACGGGGGATCTTTGTCTTTGTTTCTGGGTGAGAGTATTTGTGGGGGAGCAGTGGCGCAAGTGGTTAGCGCATTACGATCTCTTCCGCTGCTAGGGCTGGCTTGGATTCGGGATTATCAGCGTAAGGCACTACCACTAGAGCTACAAGGTACCTCCTATCAATAACAACCCTCTACCATTGTCAAGGGTTGCACATAGAAGAAGATCTGCTGACGATGCAGGCAGCGGTGAGAAGGAAACTGCCGCTACTTGGACACACGATGGACAACAACAGGGGAATTAAAAGTGTTGTTGTCGTTCGGGAAAAATGTAAGGAGCATGAAAGAGAGGAAGACCTCACGGAGAATGGCTTGGCCACGACGTGAGAGACTGGTGCCGGCAAGACGTGGCCACTACTGGAGCGTGTTCACACAAAGAGACAGAGCAAAGTGGAAACAAATGTCGAAATGTGCAGTGGACACCCACGGGGGCTACCTGCCCATGGATCGTGATGATGATGACGATGATGACGATCATGTCCTATACATCCGGTGAACCCCGCCCCCTTCCCCCACCGTTCCCTGGCGCAGCTGCACCGCCTGCGCACCCGACAGACCGAGCGGCCGCGCGGGTGCCATGCGGGAGTGGAGGCGGCGGGCGCCCTACCGTGGTAGCCGCCCACGGCCAGGAACGGGAAGACGGGGGCCCCGTAATCGGCCATGCAGCTCAACTCCAGAGCCGTGACGTCCTTGAAGGAGAGGGGAGACCTGAAGCGGAGACAAAGACAGAGGGTCCCCTGTGTAGCCTTAACAGACTGTTGGGGGCAAAGTGCTGTTGTTTAGCGAGTAGCACCCGTGAAGGCCGGCACAGGCACACGAGGGGGTGGGTGGCCAGCACCACGGCCGACCGCCTTTGTCTCCATAGTGGCGATGTCTACACACCGCACCAGGTGCACATTTGAGACTGAGTCGACACACACGTGCGCACTACACTATACACGCATGCACACACGCGCGCGCGCACACACACACGCACACACACACACGTGCGCACTACACTATACACGCATGCACACACGCGCGCGCGCACACACACACGCACACACACACGCACGTGCGCACTACACTATACACGCATGCACACGCGCGCACACACACACACACGTCCGCACCTGATGCAGTACATGAAGTGGTCATGCCAGTCCGCGGTGCCCATCTGCCCACCGTCCCCCTTCTGCTCCGCCGTGGCCAGCAGCCTCGTCCTGTTGTTCTGGAAGTACTGCAGGAGGCTGTTGACCGCGCAGTCCGTGTCCTTGGGCTGCTCGGGGCTGAGCGGCGCGAAGCATATGTCCTTGAGGCTCACGGCCGTGCCGTTCACGTCCACCTCGATGTCCTGCAGCTGCGTCTGCAGCTCGAGCAGCTCCAGCAGGAGGTTCAGCTGGAGGGTGCTGCTGAAGTTCTGAGTGCCGAAGAGCACCGATTTGTACAGGGAGCCCTTGCCGCCCTTGCTGCGCAGGATGAGCTGGTTGGTCCTGAAGAAGGGGCCGAAGTTGGCGTCGTGGAACTCCTTCTCCTGCCGCGCCCGGCTGCTCGGGGACGACCACAGCTCCACGGGGTCCGTGGTGAGCTCGATGAAGACGAGGCCCACGCTGAGGGCGGCCACCACCACCACGCTGGCGATGATCACGGGGATGGGGTTGTGCGCCACGAGCACGCCCCAGCGACGGAACGCCGCCGCCAGGAGGCCCTGCGTGTTCTCGCCCAACTTCTCCAAGCAGGTGACGTCCGCGGCGTCCACCGGCGGCAGATCGTCATCCGACGTGCCGCCGCCGCCGCCTTTCGACCTCCCTCTCCCCAGCAGGTGCGAGAGCGCCGCGAACACCGTGAACAGAAGCGTGAGGCCCGCGAACACCACGAGGCCGATCGCCAGCGGCGCGTCCAGCCGGCCGAACATCCAGGGCCCCGGCGGGTCAGGCGGCGGCGGCACCGAGGGGCAGGCCTTGACGCAGTCCTGGCACGAGCAGGCGGGGCCGTCCACTTCGACGGCCTCCGTGCACTTGAAGGTGGTGTCGTTGAACTGCCGCATGCCCTGGCTCTCCTGCGGCGCCGTCTCGCCGTCGGGTATGAGGTCGAAGACGATGTCGATGGGCGCCAGCCCGTTGCTGATGTCGCCCTGGAAGTCGAGCCAGCGCTGCGCGGTGCACAGCGTGCTGCCGAAAACGCCGCACATGGCGTCGATGGCGAATCCGCCCGTGGCCGGGATGGCGACCGACTGGCACGACTCGAACGCCTCCTCGGCGAGCCGGCGGGTGTACAGGCAGTTGAAGGCGAGCACGCCCGTCTTGTTGACGCCGTCGACGACCGTCTCGAAGGTGCGCGTCACGTTCACGTAGAGGCTCTGGTCGGGGCTGCAGATGTTGGTGCAGTGGAGGAGGCGGAAGTTGTAGAGGCACGACGGGCACCTGGCCAGGATGGGTACCGACAGGTCCATGCTGTTCTTGAGCGAGACCAGCTGGTCGTTGCCACAGCACGCCGTCGTATTGCCCTCGCCCTTGTAGAGCATGGGGCAGAGGTCGCGCAGAAGTTCCAGCGCAAAGCCCGAGAGAGGCTCCGCCTCGCTGTTGTTCACGCACGGCACCCGCGCCGGCAAGAGGCCCGACTGGACGTTCGGGTTGAGGCCGCACTCGTGCTTGGCGACGCAGTAGCCGGCCTGGTGGATGGTGCCCACCGCCACCTGCCACGCGGACGTCACGTTATGGCAATTGTTCATTTATATTCCGAGGCTTTCACGACCGATGTTGTGGTTTCACGTGCGATAGCTGCGCCACCGCTCCCCCCGTTGAATTTGTTTTTTTTTAACCAAAGTGCATTTTTTTTTACTTCATAGACTATTTTTCAGCGTGGTATTATTTCAAACTGACGTCTTATTCTTCAATGATCGCTATCGTCAAGGTAGAGAGGGGGTACCACGGTGGCGAGATGTTAACTACCTCGCCCGGTATACAGGATGTTATGATGTTCGATCCCGACCACGGACGCCTGTTGTATATTTGGAGTTTGCGGTGTCTCTCTCTCCGAGGTCACGTGGATTTTGTCTCAACATCACGCGTTTAGAGTATTTGGCTGTTATAAATGTCCACGTGATAAGCCACTTTCGTTGAGCTATCAGTTGTGGCCAGGTCGTTTCTAAAAAAAGAGCTTCAAAGATCAGTGGGGCCTTACCGGGTAAAATCAAAAATAAAAATGTTTAGTTTAATTTGTCTTTGAAAATAAATTCCCTGAATTAAGTCTTCAGGACTACTGGGGAAAGTACTGTCAGCGAGCACCTATTAAGGTCGGCACGGCACACGTCTGTAAGGGGACGGTGACCCCAGCAAAAAACATGCGAGTGTGCCCGGCCGCCTTTGTATCCCCAGCGCTCAACGATATTCAGGGATGCACCACTTGCACGCGTATTCATTTTTGCTCTCCGAACATTATGTTCCCGAAGAAGCTCTCAGCACGTGGAGCGAAACGTCAGACATCGCACCGCCGCACAACCACAAAACGCATCGGAATAGCGGAAACCGAGGCAGTGAAACTATTCACTTCGTGCTGAGTCGACCTAGGAGGTGGGAAGGAAAGGGAATAGCCCAAACACCGTTCGGATACAAATTACAGTACTGACTACATTCTAGAGCAGTGCTTATTAACATTCACTGCAGCCTGCACACCCATTTGGTTCTCAGAAAGGGCATCTCACACCCCCAGGGGTTGCGTACTCCGCAGGTTAAATGAGCAAAGGTCAATGTTAGTCTACGGGCAATGTTAGTCTATGGGCAATGTAAGTCTATGGGCAATGTTAGCCTATGGGCAATGTTAGTCTATGGGCTAGGTTAGTCTCTGGGCAATGCTAGTCTATGGGCAAGGTTAGCCTATGGGCAAGGTTAGTCTATGGGCAATGTTAGTCTAAGGGCAAGGTTAGTCTACGGGCAAGGTTAGTCTATGGGCAATGTTAGTCTATGGGTAATGTAAGTCTATGGGCAATGTTAGTCTATGGGCAATGTTAGTCTATGGGCAATGTTAGCCTACGGGCAATGTTAGTCTATGGGCAATGTTAGTCTATGGGCAATGTTAGTCTACGGGCAATGTAAGTCTATGGGCAATGTTAGTCTATGTGCAATGTTAGTCTATGGGCAATGTTAGTCTGTGGACAAGGTTAGTCTATGGGCAATGTTAGTCTATGGGCAATGTTAGTCTATGGGCAATGCTAGTCTATGAATAATATTAGTGTATGGGCAATGTTAGTCTATGGGCAATGTTAGTCTATGAACAATATAAGTGTATGGGCAATGCTAGTCTATGGGCAATGTTAGTCTATGGGCAATGTTAGTCTATGGGCAAGGTTAGTCTTTGGGCAATGCTAGTCTATGGGCAAGGTTAGCCTATGGGCAAGGTTAGTCTAAGGGCAAGGTTAGTCTAAGGGCAAGGTTAGTCTATGGGCAATGCTAGTCTATGGGCAAGGTTAGCCTATGGGCAAGGTTAGTCTATAGGCAATGTTAGTCTATGGGCAAGGTTAATCTATGGGCAATGTTAGTCTATGGGCAAGGTTAGTCTATGGGCAATGTTAGTCTACGGGCAATGTTAGCCTATGGACAAAGTTAGTCTACGGGCAATGTTAGTCTACGGGCAATGTTAGTCTATGGGCAAGGTTAGTCTATGGGCAATGTTAGCCTACGGGCAATGTTAGTCTATGGGCAATGTTAGTCTATGGGCAATGTTAGTCTATGGGCAATGTTAGTCTATGGGCAATGTTAGTCTATGCGCAATGCTAGTCTATGGGCAAGGTTAGTCTATGGGCAATGTTAGTCTATGGGCAAGGTTAGTCTATGGGCAAATGCTAGTCTATGGGCAAGGTGAGTCTATGGGCAATGCTAGCCTATGGGCAAGGTTAGTCTATGGGCAATGTTAGTCTTTGAAGAATATCAGCCTATGGGCAAGGTTAGCCTATGGGCAATGCTAGTCTATGGTCAAGGTTAGCCTATGGGCAAGGTTAGTCTATGGGCAATGTTAGTCTACGGACAATGTTAGTCTATGGGCAATGTTAGTCTATGGGCAAAGTTAGTCTATGGGCAATGTTAGTCTATGGGCAAGGTTAGTCTTTGGGCAATGCTAGTCTATGGGCAAAGCTTAGCCTATCGGCAAGGTTAGTCTATGGGCAATGTTAGTCTATGGGCAATGCTAGTCTATGGGCAATGCTAGTCTATGGGCAAGGTTAGTCTATGGGCAATGTTAGTCTATGGGCTATGTTAGTCTATGGGCAAGGTTAGTCTTTGGGCAATGCTAGTCTATGGGCAAGGTTAGTCTATGGGCAAGTTTAGCCTATGGGCAAGGTTAGTCTATGGGCAATGTTAGTCTACGGGCAATGTTAGTCTATGGGCAATGCTAGTCTATGGGCAAGGTTAGTCTATGGGCAATGTTAGTCTATGGGCAAGGTTAGTCTATGGGCAATGTTAGTCTATGGGCAAGGTTAGTCTTTGGGGAATGCTAGTCTATGGGCAAGGTTAGTCTATGGGCAAGGTTAGTCTAAGGGCAAGTTTAGTCTGTGGGCAAGGTTAGTCTATGGGCAATGCTAGTCTATGGGCAAGGTTAGCCTATGGGCAAGGTTAGTCTATGCGCAGTGTTAGTCTATGGGCAATGTTAGTCTATGGGCAATGTTAGTCTATGGGCAATGTTAGCCTATGGACAATGTTAGTCTATGGGCAATGTTAGTCTATGGACAATGTTAGTCTACGGGCAATGTTAGTCTACGGGCAATGTTAGTCTATGGGCAATGTTAGGCTATGGACAATGTTATTCCTACAGGCAATGTTAGTCTACGGGCAATGTTAGTCTATGGGCAATGCTAGTCTATGGGCAAGGTTAGCCTATGGCAAGGTTAGTCTATAGGCAAGGTTAGTCTATGGGCAATGTTAGTCCTACAGGCAATGTTAGTCTACGGGCAATGTAAGTCTACGGGCAAGGTTAGTCTGCGGGCAAGGTTAGTCTACGGGCAATGTTAGTCTACGGGCAATGCTAGTCTATGGGCAAGGTTAGTCTATGGGCAAGTTTAGCCTATGGGCAAGGTTAGTCTATGGGCAATGTTAGTCTACGGGCAATGTTAGTCTATGGGCAATGCTAGTCTATGGGCAAGGTTAGTCTATGGGCAATGTTAGTCTATGGGCAATGTTAGTCTATGGGCAAGGTTAGTCTTTGGGGAATGCTAGTCTATGGGCAAGGTTAGTCTATGGGCAAGGTTAGTCTAAGGGCAAGTTTAGTCTGTGGGCAAGGTTAGTCTATGGGCAATGCTAGTCTATGGGCAAGGTTAGCCTATGGGCAAGGTTAGTCTATGCGCAGTGTTAGTCTATGGGCAATGTTAGTCTATGGGCAAGGTTAGTCTATGGGCAATGTTAGTCTATGGGCAAGGTTAGTCTATGGGCAATGTTAGTCTATGGGCAATGTTAGTCTATGGGCAATGTTAGCCTATGGACAATGTTAGTCTATGGGCAATGTTAGTCTATGGACAATGTTAGTCTACGGGCAATGTTAGTCTACGGGCAATGTTAGTCTATGGGCAATGTTAGGCTATGGACAATGTTATTCTACAGGCAATGTTAGTCTACGGGCAATGTTAGTCTATGGGCAATGCTAGTCTATGGGCAAGGTTAGCCTATGGGCAAGGTTAGTCTATAGGCAAGGTTAGTCTACGGGCAATGTTAGTCTACAGGCAATGTTAGTCTACGGGCAATGTAAGTCTACGGGCAAGGTTAGTCTGCGGGCAAGGTTAGTCTACGGGCAATGTTAGTCTACGGGCAATGCTAGTCTACGGGCAATGTAAGTCTACGGGCGAGGTTAGTCTATGGGCAACGTTAGTCTATGGGCAATGTTAGTCTATGGGCAATGTTAGTCTATGGGCAAGGTTAGTCTATGGGCAATGTTAGTCTATGGCCTATGCTAGTCTATGGGCAATGTTAGTCTATGGGCAATGTTTGCCTATGGGCAATGTAAGTCTATGGGCAAGGTTAGTCTATGGGCAAGGTTAGTCTATGGGCAAGATTAGTCTATGGGCAAAGTTAGCCTATGGGCAATGTTAGTCTATGGGCAATGTTAGTGTACATCCAATGTAAGTCTATGGGCAATGTTAGTCTATGGGCAAGGTTAGTCTATGGGCAATGATAGTCTATGGCCAATGTTAGTCTATGGGCAATGTTAGTCTATGGGCAAGGTTAGTCTATGGGCAATGATAGTCTATGGGCAAGGTTAGCCTATGGGCAAGATTAGCCTATGGGCAAGATTAGCCTATGGGCAATGTTAGTCGATGGGCAAGGTTAGTCTATGGGCAATGCTAGTCTATGGGCAAGGTTAGCCTATGGACAAGGTTAGTCTATGGGCAATGTTAGTCTATGGGCAAGGTTAGTCTATGGGCAATGTTAGTCTATGGGCAATGTTAGTCTATGGGCAATGTTAGTCTACGGGCAATGTAAGTCTATGCGCAAGGTTAGAATATGGGCAAGGTTAGTCTATGGGCAATGTTAGTCTATGGGCAATGTTAGTCTATGGGCAATGTTAGTCTATGGGCAAGGTTAGTCTATAGGCAATGTTAGTCTATGGGCAATGATAGTCTATAGGCAAGGTTATCCTACGGGCAAGGTTAGTCTATGGGCAATGTTAGTCTATGGGCAAGGTTGGTCTATGGGCATGTAAGTCGATGGGCAA